GAGCTGAGAACTATGGACCTGGGAGCTGCTCTTCATATTCTCATCGTCTCCCAGTGATCAATAATAATGAGTCTTTTCATGGCTTACCTTGCTGGCAACACTTCTGGTCTGAGCAATGAGCTCTCGGATCCTCTGGATGCTGGCGGAAACGTTGCTTGCAGGCTGCTTCTGCTCCACTGTGCGAAGCTGATCCAGGAGCTGAGGGACAACCTCTGTCAAATTTCTTACTGTAGTTAATAAAAAATTAATCACTTTGTGTAAATATCTCATTTATTTGACTACATTTCCCAGGGAATGAGGGTGAAGAAAACAAACACATGAATTACTTTCTGGGTAGAACTCTAAGAAAATTATTTTTAATCCCCGCAAAATTAATAGTTAAAGCCCAAGGCATAATTAATTCCTCTTTTGTGACATTACAGCACATATTGATTTATAAATGTATGCAGAACAAGCTGACTTATAAAGCACATGTCTGAAGCGCAGGATCCACAATAAATATGCAGATGTTTTCTCACCACACACCACACACAGGTTGTTTGCATTTATAATATCACTGATATAACAGCTTTAAAAATTCTGGGCAAAAGAAGGTGGAGAGGTTGTTTCTCAGGATGCTCATTCACAGGTCACACTGCTGCTGCAGCAGTCCCAGCAGCGGCGGAGGCAGACGGAGGAGACAAGGAGCACTCAGAGAAGTGGTTGAGCACTGACCCATGCACCAAGAGGTTGCTGGTTCGATTCCTGGTCAGGACTTGCCTAGGTTGTGGGCTTGGTTGTCGTTGGGGCCCATATAGGAGGCAGCCGATAGATGTTTCTCTCTCATTGATAGTTCTATATCTCTCTCCTTTCCTATCTCTCTAAAACTCACTAAATACATTTTTAAAAAATATGAGACTGGAAAAAACTTCTCAAGTAATATGTGATTTTAACATCTATATGTAACTAACTAACTGAGGTGGGCATCTAAGTATCTCCTTTTCATTGCTATAAATTTGTGCTCAAGCTAGCCAACAAACTGTCTTCTTAGTGAGAAGCTTCCGTTATATTTGGCCATATTCAGTACTTGTTGGTAATAGCCTGATTTGGGGGGATAAGGATAAAGTAATGCTCTTTAGTAAAATCAATGCTGCTTAGTAAATGTTTTTCCTAAAAGCAAGATTGTGAAGATTATTTACTCTAACATGTGATTGACCTTCTTCCTGAAAGAATCAGGCTTACATTAACAAAAACAAATGCTACCATATTTTATATAGAAGATAGTCATGACTCTTAACCAATCTATTTAGTGTTTATGTGAAATATATATATTTCATATGTACACACACATATTGATAGATGAACTAAGCAAAAGTTTTTCTCCTTTTGTAAGCTAACTTCTACAGTATTCCAATCTGAAACCCAAAGGAAGAAAACTTCTTAAAGTATGTGTAGAGTTCAATGGCCAGCTCCTCAACTGGATGCAAACTGAGAAATTTCTAAGGGATACCTGCATCTCTGGCAGAGTCCACTGCAGTGTTGTAAGCAAAAGAGTCAAACTTTTGAAGGCTCTGTGACCAGTTGGTGAGGTTGTCAGCCATCGGGGCGGTGGCCTGCTGGACTCCCATCGTCGTCCTGTTTGCCTCCTCGGTGACCAGCTTGGACTGACTCAGGCGCTGCTGAGCGTCACCTTCACACAGAGCACAAGGACACTCACTTTGCAGAGAAGCAGGGCATTTGGTGGGAACATTAACATCCATTTATTCACTGGGTGACACAGACCTTATTAAATGTTGAGCTTTTAAGCCAAATGAAGATATTTAAACATATGTTCATTATGATGTAAGTTAGGTGCACAAGACTACTGTAAGCAGTATTAATAAGTGAGCTTGGAAGACTCTAGAGCAGTGATGGCGAACCTATGACACGCATGTCAGAGGTGACACGCGAACTCATTTTTTGAGTTGATTTTTCTTTGTTAAATGGCATTTAAATATGTAAAATAAATATCAAAAATATAAATCTTTGTTTTACTATGGTTGCAAATATCAAAAAATTTCTATATGTGACACGGCACCAGAGTTAAGTTAGGGTTTTTCAAAATGCTGACACGCCGAGCTCAAAAGGTTCGCCATCACTGGCCTAGAGCCTAGCATGTGCTAGCCCTGATGGTACTGACCACAGGGACTGCCCGTGGATGACACTCTCCGGCAGGGCTTGGGTGTGCTGGAGCACTGTAGCTGGATGTGATTGTGTAGTAAAGCATCTACTCTCTGTGGTCCTGTTTTAGCTCTCACTGCTGGGGAAGGCACATCTGCTTCCAATCATGTCTTTCTAAAATACCACTGTAGTCTCAGATTAGGCAAGATGAGGGCCCTTGTTTCTCTATTTTGCTCACTGGTCTCCCTGCTTCACTATAAAAATGATGTGGCATGTAACAGAGGGCAGCTGTTTACAGTTGGGGCCAGAGAAACCCAATAACCATATTTGGATATTCATAACAAAGTAGGTTACTGAACAGTGCGTAAAAGCAGTATGATTTGAGGAAAACAACACACACACACACACACACACACACACACAATTGGAGGAAAATTCTCTCAAATTTAATGGTCACCCTTAGATGGTGTAGTTTTCAAGAATTTTCTTTTTGTGTGTGTGTGTAATGAACATAGTTTCTTTTGTCATCAGAAAACAATATCCTATATAATAAAAGGCCAGCCACCATAAGCGTAACGACCAGAATGACCAGAGACCAGAACCACCACAGCCCCTCGCTGGGCTGGATCCGCTCCCAAGCAAGAGGTTAGGGGTGATCAGGCAGGCAGGCAGAGTGGTTAGGGGTGATCAGGTAGGCAGGTGAGCAGTTAGGGGCAATCAGGTAGGCAGATGGCTTCTCACAGGGCTGGCCCCGCCCCCTAGCACAGAAAGAGGGAGTCCTAGGCTACCAGCGGCGACTCTGTGGCAGGTGTGGCTGGCCAGCGATCGCCTCGCAGAGGGAGACCCAGGCCAGTCAAGCCATTGCACCCCATGCCTGTTGCCTGCAGAGGGAGGCCACTGGTGGTGGGGGTGGGGGGGGGCATCTCTGCACAGATGGCAAGCAGTGGCAGTGGTGGGGGTGGGGCCAGCTGCCTGCAGCTGGGGGAAAGAAAGCCCTGATAGGCGCTGATCTCAGGCCAGGGCTAGGGACTCTACCTGAGGGGTCCTGGATTGTGAGAGGGTGCAGGCCAGGCTGAGGGAGCCTCCTGAGTGCATGAATTTTTGTGCACCGGGCCCCTAGTTTATTTATAAAAAGGTTGATAAGCAAGGATTCACTTACATCTTCCTCAAAGGTTTATCTAATACCAGTGAACAAATAGATGAGGCTTAAGTTCTGTCCGATCCTTACCTCTTTCTGTGGCTTGCAGTTGCTTAATGGCATCATTTAATCTGCTTTTAAGGTTACTCTTTCTTGCTACGGCTCCCCCCACACGCCTGCTGGTGTCAGCCACAGCTGCATCATTGCCTGAGGAGAAGAAGCCGAAAAAAGTACCAGTGGGGCCAGAATGCCAGGAGAAAAAACTCCATTTCAACAAGAGAAGTTCTGATTGTACCATGGAGTCATCTGCAGCATTGTGAATATGACATGAGGGTGATTTATGGTGATGGCTGGTTATGTAAGAGTAATTCTTTTTTCTGAATTGTTTTAATAAAATTTTAATTGATACACAACATGCATCTTGAAAAGGGCACACATTATAAATGCACATCTTGATGAATTTTCTTAAACCAAACATAAAATATAACCAGAGTCCAGGTCAAGAAAATAGAATATTATTTTAGCACCCTTACAATTTCCTGGGAATTCTGCGGTTACCCAAAGATGACCACTATTCTGATTCTCTCTCTGTCTGTTAGTTGTGTTTGTTTCTAAATTTTATTAAAAGGAAATAATATAGTACTGTATTTTTAAAATAATTTTTGTATCTCTGTTTTAATTTCTGTAGAGTTGTAAGTCTTGATACCTGCGGTTTGTCTTCCAGCTTTGTTTTTATTCTTCAAAATTGTGCTGGCTATTTTTGCCCCCTACCCCATTTCCATATAAATTCTAGAATTATTCTGCATACAGTGCTGATATTAAATCTATAGATAAATTTTGCAGAATTGACATTTTTACAAATTTGAATCTTCCTCTTAATTTACACACTTTTAATTATTCGTCTTTAGATTTAAATTCTCATTTGATCTCCATTGCGAAATTCTTTAATTTCTTTCAGGAGCATATTGTAGTTTTACATGTAGAGATCTTAGCATTTTTCATCAGATTTATTGCTGGATATTGTATTGCAAATGGTGTTATTTTTAAAAGTTAATTTCTCATTGGCATACACAGAACTAAACTGGATTTTATCCATTGAATTGGTAATGTGGGGCTTCCTTGTCTTGCTTTCAATGTTGGTGGGAAAGCTTTCAATATTTCAGTTTTAATTTGATGAATATCATTTTATTATTCTTTATTGAATTATGGAAGCTTAAGTCTATGCCTAGTTTGCTATGAGTTTTTTAAAAAATATGAATGGGTATGGCATTTTGTTAAATAATTTTCCTGCATGTAGTGAGATGATCATATAAATCTTCTATATTCTGTAAGTGTGGTGAGTTACTATTGATGTTTTAAATGTTAAACTATCCTTGAAATCTGGAATAAACTTAACTTGGTCTCGTTATGAGAGAATTTGGCTTATAAATTTTCCTTTTTGATAATATCCTTGTCAGAATTTGGTATTTTGTTTGCTTCATAGAGGAAGTTAGAGAGTATTTCCACTTCTTCTATTTTCTAGAAGAATTTATATATGAGTGGTGTCATTTTTTCTTTAAAAGTTTGGAAGAACCCATTGATTCCTTGAGATTTCTTTTGTGGGGAGGGTTTAATTACTGATTAAATTTATTATACAGCCTGTCAGATTTTCTATTTGTTCTTGTTTCAGTTTTAAGAGTCTTTTTCTTAAAAAATTATTATTGAAAGTGTGCTTGTAGCATAGTCCTAAACTGTGTTATCTGGGACCTAATCCAAAAAAGTCAGGATATAATAACTTGTCATCTGAACTGAAGAATCAACTTCCCAAAAATGTGTTCATGCTTTGTTTACTTTACAAACCACCAAAGAAATAATGCTTCTTGATAAACAGAAAAATACCGTTTTCACTTCCCATTATATACTTCTCTTTATTTCTAATGGGCTTGTAAATAAATACTCTCCCATGGTGTACTTACTCCTTTTTATTGTATAATCTGGTATGCTTGGTTTATTGTTCAGTTATTTTTATCCCCACATGTGTACAATGGGTATACAATGGGTGGTGCTTAGTTGACTCTGTCACCAAGTACAATGTAACCAAAGTACAAGCATTTCTTTCTTATTTACTCTGGGTAGTGCCTGAGAATTTCCCAGAATTCAAGGAGGGACTTAAACATTTTGTATTGTATTGAACTCTCTCTCCCTCTTTTAACATCACTTCTTGAATATTGTGGTATAAAAAATCTTTTTATCTCTTTCTTTTGGGTCCTTTGACTGCAAAAAACACTAGCTGATATACTGAGAAATAATATATTTAGTTCTGTATTTGGAACTCGTAAAAATAAGAGAAAGAAAATCTATTTTGAGCTGGATGTTTATAAGACGAAATGTTTCATGAAGAGTATGTCCTATTTGGAACTTATTGTCTTACATAAACATTTTTTTATTTTACAAATGAATTCAATAGATTTCTTTAAATAGCTGCTTCCTGAGTTTATTAATTATTTGACAATGAAGAAAAGGAAGAAAATGAAGATGATTGATCATTGAAAGTTATTTGGATCTAAATTAACAGTAATCTGAAATTACAATGTAACTCAGTAGATGAATATGGTTCAACTTGGAAATTTAAATGTATATCACAAACATGTGTATTGTTTAAAGGGAGGCAAGTTCTTAACCATACAGTCTTAACTTTCTTCAGTGTCCCTTTTACAAATAAATAAATGAAGGGATTTAACTAGCAAGATCATGAAATAGGTGACAAAATCTACAATATATTCAAAGAAACCAATGCAGAGAGACTTATCTGTATATAAAACATTGAATTTTAAAGAAATAGCATTCCTAAAATAGAAAAATTGCTTTCATGAGGTTCAATAACTCAATAATGACAGGATTGGGACAATACCTTGCAAATTATCGAGGAAAATAAAATATTTAAGTCATTGAATCATGAAGACCTGCATATTCTGGTCTTCACAAAACATGAAACAAAAGCAATACATAGATATGGCAACATTTACTTAAAATATTTTACTATTCATCGAATTCCTTACTATTACTAATGTAACTCTTTTCTAAAGAGTATGGTCAAGACTGGCATAAAATAATAGTTGTTTTGTGGTAATTAAATAGTTAAATATTCTGCATATGAAAAACAATGCACTTATTTTCCATGTACTTCTTTGTAAAAAAAAAAGGCACAGTAATACTCGAGATTAATTGCTTTGATAAAATTACATAAAGTGTTCAGTTTCAAGCTTGGCCTTTTGTTTTTAGGTGGTAATTAGAAGTTAGCTAGATAATGGATTTCCAACCTCATTAGTCAATGCTCGACTATCCTTAGAAATGAGTTCATTACGTCAGTGATGAATAATGTTCAGCGAAATTCTTATTCAATTCAATTATTTTTAAGATTCAGAATTGATTAAAACGATTCACTTTAATTTTTTCCTCCCTCTCCCACTCTTGGGAGGTATTGCTTCAGCAGATGCAAACACCAGCCTTTGAAAATGCTTCTTTCCCTATGGCCATTCGGCTTGTCCTAAATACAATAACTTTGAAAAACACAAGCTACAAGAAAGCAGAAATAACCAAACGGCTTTGGGGTACCCTATCCTCCTGACCCTCACAGTGGTGACCCAAATGGGTCATCATGGGTAAAATTTTAAGGAAACTTCTGAATTGTCCAAGAAAGAATAAATGATGTGCAATATAGTTTTAGTGTTAAGTGTCTTTATGACATAATCTCGATAAAAATTGATGTTTGTATTAATTAGTCCATTTGATTATCAAGAATTCCCACCACATGTTTTACTATATAAAAGGGGTGTGTGTGTGTGTGTCTGTTTTGCTTTTTTGTGTGTGTGTGTGTCTGTTTTGCTTTTTTGTTAATCTTCACCCAAGGATATTTTCCCCATTGATTTTTTACAGAGAGAGAGAAAGTGAGAGAGGGAGAGAGAGAGAGAGAGAGAGAGAGAGAGAGAGAGAGAGAGAGAAACACTGATCTGAGAGACACATCTACCAGTTGTCTCCCACATGCTCCCTGGCTGGGGCCAGCAATGGAACGTGAGACTCTGGTAGTCTTCAGTGCACAGACCAATGCTCTAACCACTGGACCATGGCGGCTAGGGCAAAAGGTGTGTGTGTGTGTGTGTGTGTGTGTGTGCGTGCGTGTGTGTGTTTTAATCCACAATTTATTTCAAAATATCTAATCTTTGCTTTGTTACACCTTGACTCTGAGCAGAAACTATTAATGTATTATTCAGTTGAAATATCACTTATTCTTTAATCCTAGAATTTTAAAATCTGTCTACCTGCAGAAATATTATATGAAAGGAGGGAAGCAGCTGTAAATCCGAAGGAGGTGGGAAAGTGAAGATACTTACTGGAATCTGCCCTTGTTTGCAGTTGTCTGGCTTGATTGAGGAGGTTCTCGCTTTCATCTTTATGGTAAATGATTTGAGTGTCAATCCCACTCACAGCCTACAAAGGAATAGAGTGGAGAAAGTAAGAATGATGATAGAAGAGCTATTTGTGATTTAAATGATGCAGTTTATCTGCTAAACACCAAACAAAATTCATGCAGCTTTATTTTCATAGGTCATCTTTCAAGGTCAAAGGTGAACATGAGGTAACAATGTCCTCGAATTTTCAAGATAAATGATTTTTGAGGAAAATTCAGTAAACTAAGAATAGCGCCTGGCCAAGGCCTCATCAAAATGCTTGTCGTGTAGAAACCATCAACAAATAATTTTTGAGTTGAAAAAAATCAAAAGATGAAAGGAATTAAAAAGTAAAAACTAATAGGTATAAAAATAGTCGTGGAGATGTAAAAAAGCAAAGGGAATATAGTCAATAATATTGTAATAACCATGTATGGGGCCAGGTGGGTACTAGATTTATAGGGTTGATCACTTCATAAGGTACATATATATAAAAATGTCTAATCACTATGTTGTACACCAAAACTAATATAATATTGTATGTCAACTGCAATTGGGAAATAAATTGGGGGGAAAAAAGAAAAAATATGAATGTCTGCATAAAGCATATTCTCCCTCACCAGGAACTAGTCTTAAATATGTTTTATTCAGGAATTGTGGCTTCAAACAACTGTCCAAAAAACTGGCATTTGCTGTCTGGAGTAGGGCACATCTTGAAGAAATTGCACTATTGAAACATTAGTAACATAAATAAAATGGTCTTTTCTTAGTTCTGCTCTTTCTGCCACTTGTGTTACATTGGAAGACCAAGAGATGACATTAGAAAACAGAAAAGTCATATCTGAGAAAAGGCAACATATAAATGAACTTTAAAATAAGAGAATACTCACATCGTAAATTTGGTCAGTGATGTTCAAAGCCAACTCTGCCGTATCGTTGGCTTCACTAACGTAATTGGCGATGTTTTCATAGACATTGGAAGCGTCCAAAGCCTTCTGAACCAGCCCGTTTGCATCTGAACTGTGTAAATTCCTGTTAATGAACAAACTTGTCATTATTGTTCCATCTCACCTCTTTGGGAAACTGGGCCATATGTAGGGCTTGATTGGAATGCTTCCAGGATCACAGGCACTTCCTGTTATTCAGTCACCTGGCTTGACAAGGTTTTCCTAAACTCATTTCCTAGAGGCTCATCTCCTTTGCATTCCCCTGCCTTTGGTGACCACAAAACCATCCTATTGTGGCTCCATGGCAGCTGCCTGCCTGGCAGCAGCCACAGGAAAAGGAAATGATGAGTTAAAAAGAGCCCTCTACCCCTCTTCAAGCAAGAGTTTATGCTTGGCGGTCAGGCAGAGGAATGAACCCAGTCATCCCCATCTACTCCTTACCTATTGCTATTCCCTTTCCATAAAAGAAACCACGGCTCTCAGAGAGGTGCACAGCCTCAGCCTGGTGTTAGGCATTAGCTGGGTTCACTATTCATTCAAACTTACTTTCCTTTTTTATTTTTTATTTTATTTTATTTTATTTTTAAATATATTTTATTGATTTTTTACAGAGAGGAAGGGAGAGGGATAGAGAGGTAGAAACATCGATGAGAGAGAAACATTGTTCAGCTGCCTCCTGCACACTCCCTACTGCGGATGTGCCCGCAACCAAGGTACATGTTCTTGACTGGAATCCAACCTGGGACCCTTCAGTCCGCAGGCCGACGCTCTATCCACTGAGCAAAACCGGTTAGGGCTCTTTCCTTTTTTCTTGCATGGCCCTATTTCCCTCACACAACAGACCATATTTTTCCTTGAGAAGGGAAATAACATGCATGGGGCATCTATGCACAGATACTGGGCTAGCCCTGTTCTATAGATTATGTTTTTTAAACATATATTATGTTTTTAATACTTAGCACATCCATGACCTAGATATTATTATTCCCTTTTCATAGAAGCAAGTGAGGCTCTGAGAGAGGGTTTGTCTCACTCCTGAGGCCTGGCTGCCTCCCTTAAGCACACATCTTCATTCATGCCCCCTCCTCTCCCGCCCTATATACCATGTTCTCTGCCTTTGCCCCTTCCTGGCCTCTGTAAGGTTCATCTAACATTTATTGAGTACCCATCATGCACTGAACAATCCCATAGGTGCTGATAACAGCATATGCCTCAGAGGATTGATGTGAGCTACACAGGGACAAAATGTGTGAAATGATTGGCACCATGCCTGGCGCCCAGTAAACATCAGGATTTATTTTTATACCTAAGGTATTTCCTGAATTGGAATTCCAAGCTAGTCAATAATTCATTTTATTAACACATACTTCTTCCTCTATAACATAAATGCCCCCCCCACCTTTCTGCAGCTTATGCTCAGTTATTTGTCTCAATTTTAAATCCACCAGTTCCACCTTTTTCTCTCAGTTCCAAACACTGGTGAGTAGTACCCCTTAATCAGCAGTTCTCAACCTGTGGGTCGAACGACCCTTTCACAGGGGTCGCCTAAGACCATCCTGCATATCAGATATTTACATTACGATTCATAACAGTAGCAACATTACAGTTATGAAGTAGCAACGAAAATAATTTTATGGTTGGGTCACAACATGAGGAACTGTATTTAAAGGGCCAGAAGGTTGAGAACCACTACCTTAATTCATCAGTAACTTCCAGAAGATTCTCTGTCACCCAGTATATGAGATTGCAGATGTCATGCTGGCTCATCTCTTCAAATGCCCTGACCTGGTGAACTCAGTCAACTGTTTCCTAGCCTTCTGCATCCAGCGTCAAGTCTTGCATGCTCTCTAAGGCTAGAGTGACTTCCTCTGCATTTCTTTGGCTACATCCTTCTCTTTTGTTCAAGTCACTTTCCTGGCTCCTCCACACCAGGGCTGACTTAGTAGGGAGGACAATGATAACATTTGTTTTTATATTAAGGCAGTCTTGCCATATAATTTTTAACCTTTTATGGAGGAAGGGGCCCACAGAGGCAAAAGAACCCAGGGCCCATGAAAGTCGGAATGCAGCCCTGCTCTGCAGAGGTAATTCTGATCTTGCCATTTCTTCCTCCCCAGACCCCTTGTTCTTAGAAATGGCTCAGAAAGTAAAACCTGAGTAAGTTTTTTTTAAAGAATAAAAGGAATATAATTTTATAAATATGTATTAATATTTTAAAATGTTGCTGGCTAGAGTGGTAAGAAGATGTACCTAAGAGCTTGAAACAAAGCCTTTGTTACTTGTTTTCATTACAAGGCACAAAACAGGTACTACATCAAAATAAAACGTGTTTTTGAAATGGGAGCTTCTTGATGAATTATGTTTATCTCTTTTTTGAGGCACAACATGCAGATCATTGGGTACCCAGATAGATGTTGAGGTGTATTCACATTTTGAAGGAAATATGTCTATAAATTTGGATGGTTCCCTGCATATATTTAATCAGAAATATCCTAAACACAAAAGGGTTTCAGGGTGGTTGATGTTCCCCATCATGTTTCATGCAAAGCATGTGATAACTTAGAATCGCGCTGGGACACTGCTTGCCGCAGCAGCGTTTCGGGAAGGGTGTGCTGGGTTCCCAGTCAGGAGGATGGCCATCACAATGACCAAAGAATTTGAAGAGCGCACAGGGATGGGCCTCAAAATAACATTCTACTGATGCAGCACATTATCCAAAGCATCTTTTAGCCAAGTTCCATTTTATTGGCTTTATCAAAAGCATATTTCCTGGGAGCATGACACAGCTGGATATAATACACCAACGCTTGACAAGACCTGTCTCCCTCCCCCCCCCCCCCCCCCCCTTTCCTCCCCACTTCTCTCTCTCTCCCTCTCTCTCAATTCTCAGGAGATTTGTAGGATATTGAAATTTTTGGCAGTCAGGAATAAAAAGGTGATTTAAGTTTTAAACAGAAGTTATTGTTGGTTCTTATGTTGTTCATGACCTTGACTGATTCTTATTTCTAATGGCCGAATTTGCAGTCCTTTCTCTGTAATTATCTCATTATTTATCTATTATTTCAAGGCCATGAATTCAATTCCAATCTTTCAGTACATTTCAATGAACATGAATTGAGTGCCCAAAGGGTGCATGACTCTCTTCTAAATGCTACGAGGAAAAAATGTCCATTGATTTTTCTCTTAACAGGTGTTGAAATCAAATAGATCCAGTTGGGGCAGTGTAGAGTAATGAGAGTATTTACCAGAGGTCAGTTGTATTAACAACTTCCAACCAGCTTTACTTAAGAAACTTGAGTATGGAAAGCTAATACTGCCAACGAAGTAAATAGGCAATTATGGTAGATTTAGACCTCGTAAAGGGATCTGATTTATTTGATATTTTGCAAGTTATGCCTCTAAGAAAAATGCATTAATAGCCCTAGCCAGTTTGGCTCAGTGGATAGAGCATCGGCTTGCAGACTGAAGGGTCCAGGGTTCGATTCTGGTCAAGGGCACATGCGTAGGTTGTGGGGCATGCAGGAGGCAGCCAATCAATGATTCTCTCTCATCATTGATGTTTCTCTCTCTCCCTCTCCCTTCCTCTCTGATACCAATAAAAATATATTTAAAAATGCATTAATAATTATGAAACAGAAATCCCCTCACACCAAACACAGGTCTGTGATCTGACAGATTTTTTTTTAATTTGAAAAACTGTCTCCCTGAAGTGATTACAATAAACAGTGATTGGTTCTCAGACTGCCCATCAATAAACAAATAAAAAAGCAAACCCGACCCTCAAACCAACCTGCTAACACTGAATCCCAATAACTCTGGCATATGGAATTGAATAAAAATAAGTTAATCAGCCCATGTAGATATTTGCATTTCTCAAACCAGGATATTACCTGTTTAGTTCATCGGCCTCTTGTTGAAGATTTTGTGCATGGTCAACAGCTTCTTGGACTAAACTATAACTGAGGTTACTTAAGTTGGATAGCTTTCCCTGTAGTTCATTTTTGGCTCCATCTATTTCAGCATAAATCCCTGATGCATTCTAAAGAAAATATTTTTTAAAAATGAGTTGAATTTAGAAAAACTTAAAACATTTTCCCCAGGAAGTATCAAAAGATAATCTCCATTCTTCATCATTATGCAGTTCAATAAATTTCAGGCCAGGTCTACATGATAAATATAAGTAAATGTTTATCTGTTTCTCTTGCATAGTCAACTCCTCTTCTCTGCTGATTGCTTCCCTAGCATCCAGACATGCTCTGCCATCTCTGATCTGAAAGCAAACAAAACTAGCTTCTGTGATGCTGCTCTCTCCTGGTTGGATTCCTATTTCTCTGGCCAGGAAAGAAACCTTAAAAGCTGGTGTTCCTCAGGGTTTGACTCAACTCTTTTCTTACCGAGAACTCTAACTCCTCTCTGTGAGCCCAGTCTTTTAGTCTTCGAACTCATTCTTTGCCATCCTGAAGGAATGCTGGTCTTTCTGTTAAGCAAATCTGATTATGTTATTTCCCTTCTCAAAATCAGCCATTGCTTTGCAGGTGCAAATCCAATTCCTTAGCATGTCTTCATCAATTGACTCCTCCTCTCACCAAATTTCATTTATCACCACTCCTCACCCTACTACACCTATGGTCCACACTTGAGTAACTGATTGTTGTTTCAATGCTCCATAATTTTTCTGACCACTGTGTCCTTGCACATACTATTTTATCTGTCTGGGGAATACTGTTCCCTTCTTTTCTGTCTCATCCACCTGGAAAAATTCTACTCATCCTTCCAAATTCAGCTCAAATGATCACTTCCCTGATGAAGCCATCCATCCCTGACTTCTGCAGGGTGAGTTCAGTATGGCCACATATTTTTTTAAGCCACGTATTTCATTACTGTAATCTTTTCACTTGAATATTACACTCACCAGGTTACACAATCCTGGGAGATAGAAACTATGTTTATTTTTGTATTCCCAGAGTATAGTACACTTCCTGGCATATAGGGTTTATTTTTATGAAGACAGTATTAAACCTCTAGCCATTTGGTTGCTCATATGGGGAACAATACAAGATAGAATAGATATTTGTGGACACATTCTCTGCTCTCAAGGAATTTACAATCTGGTGGGAATTAATTAATTCAACAAACATTCATTGTGTGCCTACTATGTGTCAGGCACTCTTTTAGGAGATAGAATAGATATTTGTGGACACATTCTCTGCTCTCAAGGAATTTACAATCTGGTGGGAAGATGCAGATGATAAAAAAAGGGATCAAATAACTGATAAAGTTAATTTCAGGGAGTGAAAGTACTTTGAATAAAATACAACAGGTCAGATGGGTTGGAGAGTGATTGAAAGTAAGAGGCCCACTTAGATTGAATGGTCACAAGGACACTAGCCATTTGAAAACTTCAGGACAGAGGTGAAAAGGTCCTGAGGTAGGAAAATTAGAGAGGAGTTAGTGTAACAGTCTGAGTGTTGTGAGGGAGGGGAATTGTGGGGCATGAGGTGACTTAGGGACTCATGGGCCATGGTCAAATAAGCTTGTTTCTTACTTAAAGTGTCACAGGAGGTTTTATGTGGGGACATAATGGGATCTGATTATGTTTTTTAAGGATTGTTCTGCAACTGCATAGAGAATAAGTCTTGAGGGTCAAGAGTAGAGCCAAATGGATCAGTAGGAGGCTCTGTGACAGGTCACACTGGAGATGAGGAGACTTAGACTAAAGAGGAGTAGCAGAGAAGAGGGTAAGCATTCAATCTGGAGACAGGGCCAACAGGTCTTGCTGAAATGGGAGTGAGAAGAAAGGAGAAATCAAGAATGAGTCCAGAATTTTGAACTGAGCTATTGGGTTGTGCCATGTATTGAGGTGGGGGAGACTAGGGAAAAAGCAGATTTTATTCAGAATATTTAGATTTGAGATGCCTATTACATATCAAAGTGGTAGATGAAATTGTGATTTCGCTACAAACCATGCTGAGTTCATACTTGAAAATGTCAAGTAAACATTCAGATGTAAGAATTTGGACCTCAGGGAAGGCATCAGAGTCAGAGGTATACATTGTGGAATAATACATATAATTAGATTTTAAAAGTCATCGGATTCGATGGGAGTAAATGGAGAGAGAATATAAATAGAAAAGAGGCCCCATGACTGAGTACTGAGCCATTCATTATCCAGAGCAGGGATCAACCTGGCCCAATGCCAGGTATGGCCTGAGGCTGTTTTTTGTATAGCTCCCGGCTAAGAATATTTTTTTACATTTTTAAGGGTTTGTAAAAAAGTAACAACAAACAAAAACCAAGAAGAGAATAAGGGAGAGCAGTTGCATGTAGCCTGCAGAACCTCAAATATTTGTCTGAGAGGGTGTGCAGCAGTGAAGCCAGCAAAGGAGGCTGGGAAGAAATGGCCAATGAGGGGGAGGAGAGCCAGGTAAGTGGGGTATTGGAGGAGCCAGGACAGGGTCTTTAAATAAGGAAGGAAGGTTAGCAGTGCAAGGCTGAGAATGCTGAGGAGAGAGATGCAACCATGGTTTTGGCTATGTTGAGGTTGCTGGTGACTTGGACAAGCACCCTTGGCAGAGGGGCAGGGACTCCCATTTGGAGTGGGTTGAGTACAGTACACAGCATGGAGCTGGGGGGTGGGGTGGAAACAGTAACTTTAAATGGCTCAAGATATTTTGCTGTGATGCTGAGAATACTAGTAGTATTGAGGTGGAAATTAGAAGGGATGTAAGCCAGGTCTTTTTTCTTTTTAATTTTTGAAAGGTAAGGGCTATTAAAGCAGGTCTGTGTGTTGGCAGTAATGATCAGTGAAGAGTAAGAACTGGGTGAATCAGAAGAGAGATTGCATGCTTTTGGGAGCCATACCCTACTGCCCAGTATTCAAGGTGAGGAAAGATAGAATAAAGAAAGCAGGTAGAGGAATGAGGCTGTATCCGGAGAAGGGACACTTTATTATTTATTACAGGAAGGAAGGTAGACATCTGCATACAGATACAGGTGAGCTGGTAGATTTAGGGAGGAAATATGAGGTGGGTTCTCTTTGTTCTTAATTTTTTAGTGAAGCATGAAGCAAATTCACCAGCCAGACTGATAGAGGAGGAGGTGGTTTTCCCACCAGTCATGTTGGCTGCACTGGATGCTGGGTATACTTGGGTTTATTGGGGATATAGGATTAGAATTCTCAGGTGAGTACAGTAGTGGCATAGTATGGAAGTTAAGGGTGTTTGCAAAGAATGAGTATATTGATCATTTTAGCTGCTTAAGGAAGGGAGAGAGGATAGGAGAAGAGGATAAATGAAGTAGAGGAGGTCTCCACGTGGCTAGAGAATTGTTGGAGTGGGCATTCTACAGTAAGATAAGAGATGGTGCTTAGGGTGGGAGGTGCTTGAAACTGGGTTTGGGAGGAGGTACTGTTATTGATGACCAGAGTATGGCCATAAGAGAGATGACAGAGGTGGACTGGAGGAAAAGCTTGTTGAACACGAGTTCAAGGGAGTAGGGATGGAGAGGAAGATAGGGAGTTTGGTGCTGAAAGACTGAGATGGTGATCACACGTGGCACTATTGAGCACTTGAACTATGGCTAACATAATTAAGAAATTAAAGTTTTAATTTAATTTAATTTTAAATCATTTAAATTTAAGTAGCCATATATGGCTAGTGGCCACCATTCAATAAAAGAAACTGAAAGATTTAGTCACCTGATCTTAGTTTTATAATGCCAGCTAAATTGATAGATTTGAATTGGATTCAATTATTCTGTGGCACTGTTCTAGCTGCTGTTCTAATCTGCTATCAGTACAAACCTGAACAGGTCACATGTGTCCTTACCTTTATTATTTCATCAAGTTCTACAAGGGTCAGACGAGGTGTTACCAGAGAGTCTGAAGATGTCCTCAGGGAGGCATTCACCCCATCCATGTGTTCTCTCACTTTGTTGTGTTGTTTCTGTAGGAAGGAAGAGTAAAGGACAGAAGAAGAGAAGGCGGCTTTAGAGAAAGCACCAGAGAGTGGTCAATGTCCACTCGTTGTCCTTGCCCCAGACAGATCCGGGTTCCAATCTCAGCCCCACTGCCTAATTGCTGTGCGCTTTGGGGACTTCTACCCTTTGAATGCTTAGTTTCCTCACCATGACACCGATATAACAAAAGGAGGCACCTTGGGAGCGTTGAAGCTTGTAGATTAATACTTAAAACATCATCATCTCAGAGCTAACACTCACTTCTCCATAAATGTAAAGTGGAACTATGAAGACAGGATTGAATGTAGGCTCTATATTTGCAATAATTGGAAAATAAATTAATTCAGAAAAGTATCATGTGCTAACTTGGAGCACAAATAGCTCATTTGGGTCAGAATAAAGCATATACAGAATAATCTTAATGTCCTTTGTAAAATTTAAAATGGCTCTATTATTAAAGCACAAAATTGTGATTTTGCTTTCTCCCATTCTGAGCTCATTATGTTAGATGCTCAGAATTTTTGAGAAGGGAACCTGCCTAAGTTGCTGATATATATATTTTATTGATTTTTTACAGAGAAGAAGGGAGAGGGATAGAGAGTTAGAAACATCGATGAGAGAGAAACATCGATCAGCTGCCTCCTGCACACCCCCACTGGGGATGTGCCCGCAACCAAGGTACATGCCCTTGACCAGAATCAAACCTGGGACCCTTCAGTCCTCAGGCCGACGCTCTATCCACTGAGCCAAACCGGTTAGGCCCTAACCATTAGGGCACTAATATATTTTTTGATGAATGTTAGGCCCTAACCATTAGGGCACTAATATATTTTTTGATGAATGTTATAATTTCCACCTTCGCTGTTGGACAGGGATGTTGTGATTCTGAAGAAATATTATGGAGCTTCAAGTGAATTCAAACAAGAATGAAACTTTAAGATAAAAAAGTAAAAAATTAATTACAATAAAAAAATGAGTTAAAGTTACTTTGAAAATGGTAATTTAAGTTAGGGTTGAAATATATAAGCTATGGTATAATCTAGGATATCCTAGAAATAATTACAGAAGCTCAGATATAGTAGGACATTCATTAAAACTTAAGTTCATCTTAATGTCTTCCTTACTTCCTGAGGTCTTTCCTGATTTAGTGGAAAGAAAGATGGAGTCCATCTTCTCCAAATGTGTTGCTACAGGGGAAGATAAAGGTCTAGGGACAGAAAAGAATCTCATTTGAACATCCCCTTAATGCAAGGACATTAAAAATATCAATTTCCCCTCAATATCCATCAAGCTTAATACAGTGTGACTATCTGGGGTTAATTATTCTTATCTCCATAAGGAGCAGTATTTATACAGCTCTGCACAAAAGCAATATTTTAAAGTATATAAGGAAGGGAGATGGAAAACGGTTGGCATTAGCTCTATCAGAGCAGTTTTCTTTTGACAGAGTCTGAGCTAAAACACCATCTGGAAGCCCTGAGTCTGGGTCACCTTAAGGGAACACTGCTAACACCCCAAGGTCATAGCCAAACTTCAAAGCCGAGGTTTCACAGCACTGTATAGCAAGTTCATTGCAGTAGTTGGAAAATGATATGCTTCAAATTAAAGGGTTTCCCCCACTTATCATATATACCGTTAGACAGAATGAATAAAATTAGCTTTGAAACAAATAAAGATATTCCTACAGAAAGATGGTCAACTTGAACAAAAGAAAGTTTTCAAAATAATTACGAAAATGACATAATTAGCACTATTCTGCATGCTAAGTATCCATTGCACATATACAAAAAAAAAAAAAGTTTCCTGATCCTAAAATAAATTATAGAAACAGTCCTGGAAAGGCAGAGCTTTGGCTTATAAGACTCTCTAAACAGTGCTTTTAAAAGAGTATTTAACCTACTTTTGAAATATAAAATTTTATATTTATCTGAAAAATATTTTTATCATGCTGCTCCCCTTTGGTGTTGGGAGTAGGATAGTGAGGTAAATATGTAATTATTAGATCTGTGGCTGCTGTTAGCAGACATCGAAATGATTTTTTTTTGGTTTTGTATAAAGACTGGATTTTGGGGTTATACTAATTAATAAAATTAAAATGCTTTGGTTGAGTGGGGGAGACAGATCCGTTAACAGATGGTCACAATACAGAAGGAAATAAGCATAAGGCACACTATGGGATTGCTGGAGAGGAGCTCCCGCTCATCTGGAAGGATGGGGTAGCTTCCTGGAGGAGGTGAAACCTGGGGACCACCCAGGTATCAAGGAGAAGAAGTCTGCTTCCGGGCACAAGGGATTATTGTAGCGTGAGATTGTCTGAACTGAACGTGTGAAGCAGGGAAAAGGCAAGAGGTATGGCTGAGGAGGCTGGCACGGGCCCATCAGAGAGGCATCTGTATGCCACGTGAAACAGCATAGACTTTCCTATAAGACGGTGTCTTTCACTTGTTTTTGACCATAACCCACAGTAAAAAATGTATTTTATGTCGCAATCCAGTAAACATATGTAACTAAAGTAGAAATGTTGTGAAACTATTCCTTAGTCTAGATTATGTAGTTGGATATTTTCTATTTTATTTATTACCCCCCCCCTTTAAAAAAATGCTGGCTATAGCATTCAAAACTTATTTTGATTCGCGAAGTTAGTGATTTTTAACTGGTGTGCTGAGGCAGGCACGCTGGTGTGCCACAAGAAATTTTGAAAAATACAATATCTGACTTTCAGTCAGGGTCACTATTTTTCTTTTAGATTGTCAAAAAAAAAAAGACAACAGCCAACACAACAATAGCTATATGGTGTGAATGAATCAAAATTATACCTATTTTTTTGTCAGATCAGCAAAATATATTTTGTGGTGTGCCTCAGAATTTTAGTAATTATTTTATGTGTGCCATGAGATGTACAAGGTTGAACATCGCTGCACTAAATGGTTCACAAGCTGTAGTGTCCAAGGCACTCTCGTGAGGAGCAAATGAAGGCTTTTAGAAAGAGCAAAAGGTAATGGTCAGAGATTTAGGTGGGACACTCTAGCACAGGGGTGGCAAACTTTTTGACTCGAGGGCCACAATGGGTTCTTAAACCTGGACCGGAAGGCCGGGACAAAAGCATGGATGGAGTGTTTGTGTGAACTAATATAAATTCAAAGTAAACATCATTACATAAAAGGGTACGGTCTTTTTTTGTTTTAGTTTTATTCATTTCAAACGGGCCAGATCCGGCCCGCGGGCCGTAGTTTGCCCACGGCTGCTCTAGCAGGATGTGGAAGATGGGTTGGAAGGGAGCAAAAATGGAGGAGAGACAGGAGGAAGCTATTTTGGTTGAGAAATGAAGGCCCAAACTAGAGAAGTTATAGAGAAATGGAAAATAGAAAGAGCTAAAAATATTCCAATGGTAAAATTGGCAGGAACCTGTGGTTGACTAGATGTGGGAGGTGAGAAAGAGGAGAAATTCAAGAATAAGGATGAAGCCCAGTAATTCCCTTGAAATCTACTTGAGGAAATTATTATTTTGTGCTATACTTATAAAATTTTGTTGTGTAAGATAATCATGCATTTACTTAACAAAGGATGCTATCCTGACCATCATTATTCTAAAAACTAGAGGGCTGGTGCAAGGATCCGTGCACAGGTGGGGTCCCTCAGCCTGACCTGCGGGGATTGGGCTGAAATCGGCTCTCTGGTTTATTAAATAACCATGCAACATCCCCTGAGGGGTCCCGGATTTTGAGAGGGTGGTTCTCAGGTCACGCACCCCAGAATCGGGCTCCCTCCTTTCTGGTTCTGGGTGCGTCACCTGAGAACTGCAGCTGCCAAGTCACCGCAGTTCAGCAGCTCCTGCATTGAGCGTCTGCCCCCTGGTGGTCAGTGTGTGTCATAGCTACCATCGGAGGTCAAAGGGTCGGATGGTCATGGGAGATAGTGATGACTGAAAATCAGGGTAGAGAGCCCAATTTAAGTCGATTTTGCCAACCATAAAAATAAACATAACTGAATCAATGAGTTTACTCATAGCTGTTTCCTATTTTTCACTCTAATATTTATAAGCATGTCCAAAGATGCACATGTCTTCCTATCAGATGATTGCCCTCGATGATGGTGGCTGTGAGTGCATGCATTGCCTGAAGCACACATGTGACCACAGCAATTCTGAGCCCTGGATTTGTGGGCATGCACAAATTCTGGCCCCATAGGGACAACTGCCTTTGCAAGCTATGGACACATCTGGGATTTTCCTCACCTCTTCGTATTTGCATGACCTTGGCCTAAATTAGACGCCCTATGTCGGCAGCTGCTGAGTAGCCTGGCTGTGAGATTTACTTACCACACCTTTCCAGAATTTACACACATCCTTAAATGAACATAATGCTGGGCTGATTTGGTGTCTAGTGCTCCCCATATAAGAAAAAGTTAGGCAGCCTTCACCGGTTTGGCTCAGTGGATAGAGCGTCAGCCTGCAGACTGAAGGGTCCCAGGTTCAATTCCGATCAAGGGCACATGCCGGGGTTATGGGCTCAATCCCCCGTGGGGGACATGCAGGAGGCAGCCGATCAATGATTCTCTCTCATCATTGATGTTTCTCTCTCTCCCTCTCCCTTTCTCTCTCTGAAATCAATAAAAATATATTTATTAAAAAAAAGAAAAAAGAAAAAGTTAGGCATAGGAATAGTGCCATACTTCTCACTTGCAAGAGCAACACATTCAGACATGTGGACCCAAGCACCAAGAATGACTGCATTCTTATCAATGCAAAAGGCAAACAATTCTAACGGCCTCCACTTGGTTGTAGGTGTGCACATTTACATCAGCAAATTACAGTGGCAAAAATATTTTAAAAATATGAATATTTAAATGTACCAGTATTTTTAAAAATTGTATACCAACTATACATTTGGCATACATTTGTGTTGTTCATGCCTGAAATGTATTTCCAGTTAGAGTCGTCCACTGTACCTCGTGGTCCCGCTGCCTGGCTGCCGTGGCTCTATTCATGTCTTCTGCATCCCTGATATGGTCAAGGGCCTGGTGAAGTGATTCTTGAAGGTCTGACAACTTAGCATTGTAGTCTTCCAGCTGTTCCAGGACCACAGGAAACAGAGAGCGGGTATCATTGTACAGCCGCTGCCAACTCTCAGCCTGGCTCAACACTGGAAGAAAAATGACATGGAAACTCAGTCTGGGCTTCTCTTGTCTCCTCCCATTCCGTCCAGCATTTAGCAGAGATAAAAACTTGTCAGACCATGCCTTCAAAAGCAATAAAGATGGATGGTGTTGATCACAAAATAAGTCCATGCTTCATATTGAAGTAAAAATAATACTATTTTGTAGGATTTGAGAGCCCCTGGATGGCAGTCAGCCAAAAGGAGGGTTTGATTAGCTTTCCTATGAGATTACATTTTATGTGGAAACCATGCAATTATACTATGTTGATTATTACCCAGATTATTTCTAATTTTACCATATAAAATGCATTTGGATATATTATAGTCTTATTATTAAAATAACAAAAATTATCTTGTGTGTTACTGACAAATGATGTTTACAACCATTCATTTTCTCTGTTCTCTCCAGTTAGCTCCTTTAGGTCAAATCTAAATCATTATTTTGGGTGGGAAGAAGATTAAATGGTAATGGTATATGTGTCTTAGCTTTCTGATCAAAGTTGCATGCATTGACTATGTGTCTTCATTCCACTTTTCCTTCAGGGAATATCAATTTGACTTGTTCAGTTTTTTTGTATTTTCTTTCATCACCATGAACAGAAGACAAAAGTTCATGGCTGAGTAAAGAAAGTGGTTGAAAATGCCTTCACTAGTCCCATTTCTCTAGGGAAGTCTTATTAAATTCCAAAAAAGGCAAAGAACATAGAAGTATCTGACTGTGACATTAGACTTCAGCCTTTCTGACTGCTGGCTTCATCCTGACTCAGACATGGGGCCTGAGATTCTACTTTGGTTTTACTGTTTCTATGACTTTATATGTCTGCCATGGTACTATGCCTTATATTGAGAATATTCCTCTTCTAGAGTGTTCACATTCATTGTTAGCAGAAATTGATAGTGACAATTGCAAGAAAATGATCTAGGGCAGGTGTTCCTAATCCTTTTTGTGCTGCAGGGCCCTTTGTAATCTAGTAAAACCCTCAGACCCCTTCTTAAAATGTTTATTAAAATGCATAAAGTAAAATACATACAATGACAAGGGAGACCAATATATTAAAAAACAATTTGGTAATATATGTGCTTCTTTAGTAATGCATTAAGTAACAAGATTTAGAGGTGGGACTAATAACCACTGTAATTTTGAATTATTGATGAGCTTAATGTTTTGAGATACCAGCAATAGCCATAATATGATATGCAAACCTGTTGCTTCTTTTGTTGATTGTGTAGATTAAAATGGACACAAATGCCTTGCAACTCTTCCTATCAAGAGTGGAGTTTATTTCCTCACTCCTGGACCCACAAAGAAAGCAGAAATGTGCTGGGCTCCAGGAGCTGAATGGACCTACATTCATGGGCTTCGTCCGCCTCTTCATCCACGAGCTCCCGTTGAGTGAAGAATGGTTGACGGCTTCTAATCTCTTCCAGCATCTTCTGGGCCAACACCAGCTTCTCGGAGATTTCCTCAGAGCTAAGATCTTGCTGCTCCCCATAGTACAGCATCTTGTTGTTGATCTCTGAAAGGAAGGACATGATGAGAGAAGGCAGCGGGGAGAGATGACTGGGCCTTTTACAGCGAAGCCATTGAAAACACGGGGGAGGACAGGCATACTGATGTTCACACTGCAAATACTGATGCCAGCATCTGAGTACAATGTTGATTCCAGGGAGAAGTAAAACCTGAGGAAATCACTCCTCTTTGCTTCCTATTTGGTGTCTTCAGAATGGGAATGGGATTAACACAATGCCTGCCCTGATTTCATGGAAACTTGTGTCTGGTTTTTGAATCACATTTACATAGTGGTTCAAAAACATTAATATTTAAGGCACACAAGTCTGCAGTCTTTGATCAATCTTTTATATAAAACTAGAAGTCTGGTGCACGAAATTCGTGCATGGGTAGGGTCCCTAGGCCTGGCTGGCGATCAGGGCCAATCTGTGTAGCAACCAGCAGGGTGATTGGGAGGCCCCCACTGGCACCCGCCTTGGCTGGCCTGGTGCTGCCCGCTTGACGATCCTGCCCCTGCCACCACCACCAGTTGCCTCCCTCTGCGGGGCGACTGGTGGGGTGATCGGGGGTCCCCGCTGACACCTGCCTTGACTGGCCTAGGGCCTGCAGGCTAAGGGCAGCTCCTGCATTGAGCGTCTGCCCCCTGGTGGTCAGTGCCCATCACAGTGACTGGTCGTTCCACCGGTCGTTCTGCCGTTCAGTCGATTTGCATATTGGGCTTTTATTATATAGGATACATAACTTGGAGAAAATGTTCTGAGGTATCTCCTGTCATATGTAGGATACATTGGCGATATTAATCATACTTTAGCCAAGGAGTTATCAAGGCTTTAAGCCAAAATTAGAGTATACTGTAGTTGTTCAAGTGAGTCTTTCAGATGGTTCTACAGAGTAGATATACCAAAAAGGCTTGTGAATTTCTTCTCATATGCATTTTTTTTGCAATTGCTATCTGCCTTCTGTATATGACTGTTGGTATTTTGACTCTGGGTCATTTTCACCCATGTCCAGAAGTAGGATGGAGAATTTTAGAACTGGAGGGACTGCTGAGGTTCAGAGGGATTAAATGAGTTGCCGAAATATTAGCAGAGCTGAATAGTTCTTTGACTCCCTGTTTCTACTACAGATGATCAGATGAAAATTATATAATTGCCAACTTGTGCTATAGGAGCTCCAGGAGGAAGCATTCTATCTTCCTGGCATAAATGAAACTGTGTGTCTGTGGTTTACTGTGATATGTGGTTTGGCAGACAAACACCGTTGTCACATAAGTTATACCAAATAAGGGCTTGTATTTTCTATGGCTAATAGCTTGAAGGTCGCCAGTAGTTATTTTAGAGATGGCTGGGAATAGGAATGACACACTAGTGGTGTTGTGCAACATTCCTGAATTGTGAAGAAAGGGAGATAAATGAGGAAAGAAGTTTTAATACTAGAAATACTACTCAGAAAATTATAGGGACACCAAGATATGCTAAAAAAAAAACTTATGAAGGGATTTAAACATTCACTTTTCAAGAAAGTCTAAAACACTAACTCCTGAAATAAACTAAAATAAGTCCCCCCCCCTTAGAACTAGTATTTGCAAGGCTAATTCTTTGGTGTTTTGATAAAAATATTATACATACAATTCTGATCTGTTTTATTTTAGCCACTTCTGGTAGAGATTAGAAAAAGGAAACGTAGACAATAGCATTTTTGCCACTGGTCTTTGGAGACTGTTCATACATTATTATAAAAAGGTAAAAACTGATGGAAATTAGTTTCCCATTTACATTCTTTTGTAATTTTTTTCATTTTTTCTTGTGCTTTAAGCAGTGATTTTCAACCTGTGTGCCACAGCACACGGGTGTGCACAAGAATTTTTAAAACATGCAATACCTATCTAGTCAGGGATACGGACCTCTTTTCCCTTAAACTGACAAATAAAAAGATGGCAATAGCTGTCTGGTGAGAATGAATCAAAATTATACCTTTCTTTTTGGTCAGATTGGCAAAATTATATCATATATTTTTTGGTGTGCCATGGAATTTTAGTAGTCAGTGCCATTAGATGAAGAAGGTTAAAAGTCGCTGGGTGAAGGGTTTAGAAACTTTCTAAATAAGAGGGCTTAGAAACTTTCCTAATGAAATGCTGTAGAATAAAACTTTGAGTTACAGAAGTAAAAGTAACTTATTTTCTCCGAATGGCTTACTAGGATGAACGCTGGCTTTATTTGCTACCTAGAGGGACATTTATTCCTTAATTAGATGAGGTCAGCTAATCTAGGCTTAATCTCACTTTTAGAACAAATCAATACTAACTCTAAAATGTTAGAGAAAAAGAGTATTTTATTGGGAGATGCAAAAGCATGCAATAATTAGGATGGGAGTGGGAAGTGTTTCAAATGTATGCCATTTGTTTTATTGTGCATTATAGGCACCAAAGGAAATATAGCAAATGATTAATTTTGGCTCAGGATATCCATTTTCTTGGAATATGCCCCCTATACCTCAGTATAAAGATATGAATCTCCCACTGTGGGTCCCTTTACTGCCATTGTGCCCTAGGGTGCAGTTGGTCTTGTCATCCAGCTCTGAATATATAGGATAATAAAAACTATGGGAACACACACACACTGCTTCCTAGCAGACTCTAACCCAAGGAATTTCTCTTTATCTTAGAACAAAGTTGCCTCTTTTCTGTTGGTAAATGAAGGCTGGTTTTCAATGCACCATCAAAATAGGCTTTAAAATGCAACCTGTATTTACCAGAGGCCAGAGCACAAGTAAGTGAACCTTCAAGGGGAAAGGTCAAATTACCACAAGCTTTTGGGCCAAGAAATCTCACACATACACCCCTCCCTGTTTTTTTGTCTGGATTGGGGACCAGAGCATGTTGCCTGCCTGATTCTTGGGAAAGCGCGTCAGAGACAGCTCAGGGCCATTTGGGTTAGTAGACAGTTTACGGCCCCTCTAAAAGCAGTGTTTTTGCTGTCAGTCATTAAGAAAAACGTGAATCCTGCTCAACTGCTGCATTTTAGAGACACCATGGCATGCGATTTCCTCTGCCGAAAAGATATTTTGGCATTTCCCTTCTGTAAAAGGCCTGGAAAGTAGGTGACTCTGTACATTTATTCTTGAAAACTTACAGATTGTAAGGAAGGATGAGTGCTCAGAAATCCCAGGTAAACCAACTTGAAATGCAGACCTCATATAAGTTCAAACCTATAGCACTCTAACAGTTCTTGGCACGATCGTAAGCACTAACGGTAGCTATTAGTTTTTATTGTTGTTAATAACAGGAATGATGCCTTGACATGGAGCTGAACCAGAAGAGGATATATTTACCTTGGATTGTATCCCTCATGTCGTGGGCTTGCTCTACAAGCTGAGTTGCGTGGTTAATGGTATCCATACTTTCCTTTTCAGCCAGTTGGCTCTTTCTTGAAGCTTGACTTTCCTATAAATAATCCGTGTAAACACCAGATTAAATTTAGGAGAAGGAAATGTTGTATATGTATATGTATATGTGGGGGTGGGTGGGAATAATGTATTTTAAAACCGAAAATTTCCCTGACATGGGAAAGCTCTATAACATAAAATGGTCCCAGAAACCATGCATGAAGGCTGCTGTGATGACCAGCTTTAGGATTACAGAATGCTACAGAATGCTGCAAAATCAGATGGCATTCCTCTGCCATCAGTCACAGCTCAACCCAAACCAGCTGGCTTTCATAGCTGATTTACCCTTTGAATTTTTACTGTATCTCAAGATGACAGACTAGGAAATTTCCCAAGTGTGCTGAGCAGTTTGACAGTGTACACTCAAGAGCTTTAAGCTTCAAAGGGAAAATTGTCAAGAAAGCAGGCAGATCTTGAAATGCTCCACGCATCCCGTGGCTCCTGGGTGGTCCAATCACTGGTGAAACTGAATCACCGCAGAGATTCAAAGGCTTAGGCTCACTGGGCTAAATGCTGTTTTCAGTGCTGCACTCCAGATTCCCATCAACAGCGATGGCACTTGAGCACAAATAACTGTTCAGGCAGATTTGGCTCAGAGCGAACGGCGCTCTTCTCCGGGAAGCTGACTCCATTTCTCAACTCGGGAGCTTCTGTTTCGGAGTTCCCACGAAGCATTTGTTAAAATGAAATCCCAACCCAAGTGTGGCTCCTGAAGAAAGGATGTGTGGGGGTGCATGTGTATGTGCATGTTTCTCTGTGTGTGCAAGGACAGAAGCTGATCTAAGACATGGTTCAAGGCCAGGACACTTGTCTGCATGCAAGGCATGGGGGCCGGGTACTTCCTTTTGGCATTAGAAAGACTGACTCATGGGTCCTATTTAAGAGGAGGAGAACTTCAGTCTGACACTTGGTGGGTGCCCACTTGCTGCATCTGGTGTGGTGTGGTTTTGTTTTGGCTCAGCTCTGTCACAAAGGGCTACAGCACCTGGATGGACTGCAGGGTGACCCGCCACACAGACCACTGCTAACCACTGCACAGTTGCCCCAGGCGTTTCAGACTTCTCTCCTTTCACCTGGTGTTAGCCAGTGGATTATGCCATGATTATACCTGGAATGTTTTTATACTTCCCAGGCCTAACCCAAGCAAGTGGCCCTTGGTCAGGGAAGAGAATGCAGAAATCATATCATAGCTCTGGCCGGTTGCTCAGTGGTTAGAGTGTTAGCCTGTGCACCGAATGGTACCTGGGTAGCAGGTTAGGTGTGCGTGCAAGAGGCAACCAATGGATGTGTCTCTCACATCAATGTTTCTCTCGCTCTTCCTCTCTTCCACTCTCTAAAAATCCTCTGGTGAAAATTAACAAAACAAAAAAGAAAGAAAGAAAGCATATAGTAGCAAGCATAAGCTCTAGAGGCTTTTTTTTTCGGGCAAGTCTGAAATTGCCTCCACACAAAGCGCCCTGTGCAGCAGTAATGCAGCCATCAGTCCCTTCCCTCAACAGCGAGCTCTCTGAATGGACACTGTATTCTGAGCCAATGCGTTCCTTCATCCAATTCCTATCTTCCTCTTGGCTTATTCTAAGGCTTTCCAGTATCACAAAATTTGTGGTCATTTTAAAATTAAATGATGCAGGGCACAAGATTAATATTATTCTTGATGTCACCTCCTCTCCTCTTTTTATTTTTTTATTATTTTAAAAAAATATATTTTATTGATTTTTACAGAGAGGAAGGGAGAGGGATAGAGAGTTAGAAACATCGATCAGCTGCCTCCTGAACACCCCCCCACTGGAGATATGCCCGCAACCAAGGTACATGCCCTTGACCAGAATCAAACCCGGGACCCTTCAGTCCACAGGCCGCCACTCTATCCACTGAGCCAAACCGGTCAGGGCTCTCTCCACTTTTAAAATATACAATAGTTTAAAACATTTAACAAGTTGATTTTTGATCTAGTTTAAATTGAATTATATTTGAACAGCACAACATCATATTTTTGGCTTTGGCTTCAACCTTCAAGGGAAAATGCTATTGTTATTAATGTGTTTATTTCACTTATTATGGAAACTTTGAATTGAAGCAATGGAAGACAGCTGGAGGATGTCCTCTCTCTAAGAAAACCTTTTCTTCCTGACAAACACCAGAGGGCGCGTATTTATGTTTAACAAAAGACTCCGTGGCAGAGGAACCACCATTACTTAAAAATAAATAAATAAATAAATAAATAAACAAATAAATAAAATAAAATAAAATATTGTAAGAACTAACTAAATAAATTGCAAAATTACTGGCTATAATATATAGTAGTGCCTATGTGAATGTTATATTTTTTTTCTGTGACTTTGCTTATGGAAGAAAACTAATGATATAGACATATGATAAAACAGGTGCACCTTGCTCTAAGAAAAGCTGAGATTAAAAAATTATCTCACAACCATAAATCAGTTAATGATTTAACCTGCAAATGAAGTAAGTGTATAAAGAGTAATGTACCTAGAATACTAATTTAAAAAAATCAATCAGATTGAGGGTGATAATCAGTTCTACCTAGGGTGATCATATATTTTATTGTTTAAATGGGGAAACTTTTGAGAGTGAAAGGAGGGTCTTTTAACAATTACTCTGGGAGATAAGCATAAACAGGAACAGACAGTCTCGAACAAAACAACAGCAGGAATATCGGCATGCCTTTCAGAATCTGTATAGTGACATCTACTTCTGTGGGTCTGCCTGCCTCCTACACATTAAGACTTCCAAATGCCTGTCCAGCCTTATGCCTTCCCTGAGGAGCAGACTCAGATTTCTAACTGCCCTCTGGGCATCCATAGATACCTCATCCTTAAAATGTCCAGGGTAATCCATTCCGTACTTTTAGTTTTAGTCATCCATTTCTCCAAGCCAGAGCTTTCCTCCTTGTTTATCCTCATATTTAATTGATCACTGAATTTGTTTTGATTCCACTTGTCTTTCTGGCCCCCGTCCAATTCCCCACTTCCACAGTCCCAGTTGATCCCTATTCACTGTAATGCTTTTCAAATGAAGACAATGTAGCAATCAACCACACTTAATTTTGGCTCAGTATATCCATTTTCTCCTGGGGGCAGTCTCCTAATTTGTGTCCCTATCTTCAGATCTTTACTCACCAATCTATCACCCTTATTGAGGAGGAATGCTTCTGAAATTCCAAGTCTGATCAGCCCATTGTTCTAGAGTAAATGCTTCAGTGTCTTCCAAAGTCCACAGGGTGAAATTCATAGGTTCTTAGCTTGGTGGACAAGGTTCTTCATGGATCTGGGCATCTGAGAACTTCTTTAGCATTATCTCCTGCTCCTTGATTTACAGTTAATCTTCCAGAAGGCCAAGGCCAACGTCCTTCTAGTCCCAGGAATACAGTGTGCTTTACATCTTTCTGCTTTGTGGTAAATTTCCTTTGCTTGGAAGTATTTGATAAACTCCTAGTCATTCTTCAATGCACAGGCCTATGCTCATGTTCTCTGAGAAGTCTCCCTACGGTGCCCCTGCTAAAACAATTATTTCTTCCTTAGAATTATCTCTTTAGGCTGTATCATGCCTCGATTATCAAATGCTGTTACATATATATTTTTACATGCCTGTTTTCCCTACTAGACCATGAGCTCTTTGAGAACAGGGGTCTTATTGTATTCATTTCAGTATCTATAGCACCTAGCACAATGACCGTTATATACCAGGTGTTAAGTAATGCTTTTGGAATTGAAACATTTTTTATTTTTTGTCCTGCCCTTTTTTCAGGATCAGAAATGAGGCTCAGGAGCTTTTGATGTGTGGAGGTGACCTATTTTCCTTCCATTCCTAAAGATCTCTTTTCATCAAATGCATGGGTATCCCTTAGGAGGTCCCCAGAAGTAGGGGTGGGAAAGGGCTATAGCATTTCCCCAAAGGGGGTAGAGGACTTGGATATGAATTGGGACAAAACCAATAACTTCAGGTTAATGTAAATTGTGAGATTTGGGTCACATGAAGTTCATGTGACAGGTAATTTGCATACAGAGGTATTTTCAAGTTCAAAAGGCAACATTAGTGTGACTTTTATCACTGTGGGAACCTACCGTGAAATCTTTCACTCTGAAGCCAAACATTACTTTCTTGATAGAAATCTTTCTAAGATAAAGTTTTTCTTAAATCCTTCTTAGAATAAACTATGGATTTTTCTAGACTAAGGGCTTGAGGATGCTTGAGAAGTCCTTACGACAAATGCCAAGCAATTGATTTTGAAATATTTAGCAGGTTCTTGTACCATCAGGACTGTTGGAGTCAGAAGGACATTAGGTTCAGTAAGAATAAACGGAAACAGCTGGGCGAATGTTCCAGTAGCTTTTTCATCAACCTCCTGCTTTGGTGGTGTTCTTGTTGTCTTGGAGCTTTTTCTACTGGGCTGTTATTTTCAAGCTTGCATTATTTTTCTCTATGAAAGCCTGCATTTGAAGTATATCCAAAGTAGAAAAGCTACACAACAAAATGATCTGTAACTCTGTCTGAGCTGTGGGAGGAACGAATCTTGGTGAAAACACATCCTCAAGAATTGAGACACTTTTGGCAAGTTCCAACTATGATACAAGAATGAAATCACTATGAGCTTTTCGCAAAGATTTCTTTCTGGGTACTTCCTTTGAAACGTAAGAGATCTCACTGCTTTTCAAATGCTGATGGTTGGGTTAATATGCAGCATTGTATGGGAAACAAGGACAATTTTCATGTGCATTTCAAAGTGGTTGAATCTTCCAAGGGTCCAAGTAATTAACATTTTTAGAAGCTTAATCTCTTAAAATTTTAAGAGCTCCAAGGTCAAAAGAGATTATCAAAGTTATTTTAACCTTTATTTTTGTAGAAAGTGAGAATTGTTTTTTGAAAAGCACTTGCACAGTTTATGTGAAATACCAGTATAGGAAAGCAGAAATTCCAGAGTGCTCTGGACAGCACTGGGGGAGCATAACAAGGAAAAAAATGTGTTAAACATTTTAAATGTTGAATATGGCGCCTTGTGGCTTAGTTGTATTTTTTTTTATTACTACAGAGGCAGGATATTTTTCCATTAGGCTGCTGGGGAGTGTATTTAATAGTCTCTCACACTGACTCTGCTCAAATTTCAATGCTTTTGTGGTTAATTTCTGAGAGCTTTTATGTCATATTTCCCTTAATATTATTCTTAGTCTCATTGACTTTTTCATTTATTTAGTTGTCTTTACTGGGTATTTGAAATTTTATCTTGTCATATCTATTATATCTTTTTATTGTAATTCCTCATGCTGTATTTAAATGTAATTGTCATTTTCTTTCAATTTCAAATAAATATTTAGTTCTGTTTTCTTGCGAATTTGAGATTTAAACTCAAGTCTTTAATCTGTCTGGGATTTTATTTTAGTACTAGTGGCCTGATGCACTTAATTAGTGCAAGAGTAGGCCTTCCTTCCCCTGGATGCCAGCAGCCCTGGCTTCGTCTGGAAGGTCGTCCAGAAGGATGTCCAGTCTAATTAGCATATTACGCTTTTATTATTATAGATATGGTGTAAGGTGAGGGTTGAAAGTGATTTTTTTCCCTGCCAAAGTGCAAAATTGCTTTCTCAGCATCATTCCTCTTCTTTCTGTTTATTATTTAATGCATCCTTTAGCAGACATTTAAATTTTATATTCTACATAGTAAAGCTTATTTCTGGATGCTCTATAGCTCTTAGTCATAAAATGCTAAGGCAAACAGCTGAACAACTATTCTAATTGAAATATATCAACCATATTAACCAACAGCAAATATTAAAATAGTTCCTCATAAAACACAGTTTTTCAAGGAAACCAGTCAAAATGGGAAGAAACAGTAGAGACCGAGTCTACTCTTGATTTATTTTAAGGTCCTTGAGTCACTGCATATTTTCTGAGCTGTGCTGAGCCTCAGTTGTTTGTGACTTGCTAGGCTCACACCAGCTAAGTCCTTTCTCTGAAGGTAGCTCCAGAAACTGAATACATACCCTTTCAGCTAATTCGTCCAGGTCAGACAGAAGGCTTTTCATTGTATTCTCAGCGTTGTTGATTTGTATCTTTCTTAGGATATACTGGTTTTCTCTTTCTGACAATTTTGTCTGTGGAAAAAAATATTTTGAAAATAATCAGTAGATGTGCACACCAGGTTTGTAAAAATAAACACAAAACTCTTCTCGTGTTAGAGGACTTAGAGTAGAATGTGAGTCTCTGTTCCCCAAATGGTGGTGGGTCTGCAGGCTGTAGCAGGCTGGTATAGAGGTTGGGGACTACATGGGGGTTCTCAGGGCCCTAAGGGCTAAAATTCTTCCAGCTCTGCTCACCAGGCAGACCCTGGGCTGTGCTGTGCTGGCCATGGGGAAAGGGTACCTTTTTCTAATTTGTACAAATGCACAATATAGACTGGTGGTGGCCTTGGGTGTCTGACCTTTAAAATGTCAATTTGGGAAGGCTTTGGAAGAAATGATCAACTCACACAAATTAAAGTAAATGGAGCTTAGTCCAAATGTGGTTTTACTCAGATTACTTTGGAGTAGGCTCACCGAACTTGGCACTGCCTTTCTGTCAGCTATAATTATATCTATCTTGAAGTTGTGTTGTTGGGGAAAGAGAATTCAAGTGGCATCAAGAGGCCTGAATCTGGGTGACTCCCCTGAGAATTAGTGCCTTCATGTGTCCAAACTGATGAGTTTGGACAAGAAGGATTTCTAGGTTTGGAACAGAATGCTCACTAAGATTCCATTCACCTCAACAATGTTGTCATTTTTTTGTTTTGTTTTGCATAATATGGACAGTTGCTGTGCATGTCATCTGCACCTCCACAAAGTAATGAGCACTTACTATGCTAGGTACTGTTCTAAGACACTACCCTATCAACTCACTGAATTCTTTCAACAATCCATGAGATGGTTCAATAATTTTTCTCAATTCCAGATGAGAAAACTGAAGAATTAAAGAGGTTAAATAACTTATCCAAGGTTACCTAGCTAGTAAGTGTCAGAACCAGCATTTGAATGCAAACAATCTAAATTCAAAGTCTATGCTCTTAACTACTATACTAAATTGACTAACAAAGTTTAAAAAAATTACGCTGGTATTAATTCTATTGTCCTTTCAGCTAATTATCATTGTTTTAAAAAAATCTGTTGGTTGTGATAGAAGCCCATGATTTAGAGGGGGGAAATAAAACCACTTCTTAAAGCTTAGATATACAAACACAGTTCATCTGTTTCCTGCCTTTAACTCGTTTATTAGAGATTAACCGCAGGATCTATGAGGAGAAACAGAGCATGTGAGTATGTTGTGTGTTTGAGTGTGTGTGTGAGTGTGGGAAAATGAGGGGGAATATGACAATGAGAAGGTAAGGTAAGGGTAGGAGATAGAGATAGAGATAAAAATTGAGATAGAGAAACAGAGAGACACACAGAGAGAAACGTTTCTAGAGAAACTTCTCAAAAACATTGCACATTGAGGGTAAGGTAATGGTAAGTCTGTGGTAATCACTTGAATGACCAATGTACAGCTTCACCAAGGAAATAAGTGTTTCGCATCCCTCAATAGTTTTGTACATAGATACCAGTTTTTTAGTCATTTCATTTTCAGTATTAACCTCTTTTATAGATGGCAGCTCTTGGTTGAGCTGAAGATCATGCTTACAATTAACTTGTCATAATTTCCTAGGGCTAGCCAACCATCTGTAATATTGCCATGGGACTCAGATACCAAAACTGATAGGGGTTACTAGGAGTGACTCAGTGAAACCAGAATGAAAACGCGCGGAAGATAAACATTTCTGCATACTTTGAGGAGGTAGATGGTGGAGTTCATTTCATTCACGTGTCTATGGGCAGCGGCACCGGAGGACACACTCAACACACCGGATTTGCTTTCTTCAATGGAGAGCGCGGCTAAGCGAAGGTCATCGGTCAGATCCCAGATGCACTTATCACAGCCTAGAAGTAGAATGGGCAGGTCATTTCTTCAAAATGAAAAGTCAGCGGGGAAGCATGCTGCCTTCAGTAGATCACTACATGAACTTCCTTAGTTAATTCTATTTCCATTTTTGTTTCATGAGGTGCTGTTCTGGGTCACAGAACTAGTCCTTATACTCAAAGTCGAGTAGAGTCCAAGATGAGCCAAACTACATCAAGCACTATCCCCACTTAACACATAACAAAAAGAAACAACACATGCAACAGGGAAAGTAGGTTAACATGAACACTGAGTGCTGCACTGAGACAGAAAGAAAGCATGAAAGGGACAGCCCTCTGGGATGACTCTCTTTATGTCAGGCTTTGGGCTTTTGCTTGGTGTCTACTGGTGAAGGCGGCTATTTGATAGGCACTCCTCCTTTCCTTTCATCTTTTCTCATCTCAATTCAGGTTCTAGCACTTCTTACTCCTTGGCCTCACCCCAAGGGTGACTCTCTGAGCACCTCCCCATGGCCTGACCTCCTGTCTGGTGCAGTAGTTGCAGTTTCTCATTGCTTCTCACGTTTCGCATTTGAGTTCTTCTGACCACGGTCATCACCCACCAGGATCCCAGTGCCCTCCTGGGGCACACTCACAAGTACACCCTTGGAAACTTTCCTGTTCTCTATCTCTCTCTCAGATTGTACTTTCTTCTGGAGAACTGGTAAATGGAGACTGACGTGTTAATAGTTGTTAGTATGTTAATTAAGTTTAACATGGTCTTACTCATATTGACTTTCAGAGGAACATCAGGCTGGAGGGGGAAATGCTTAGGGCCAGGCAGGTATCATGATGTCCTTAAAGTGACCTTGCTTAGGGGACCACCTAGGTTATCAGTGTGTAAACTTTACCCTGCTTGTGCCTCGCATTCTGTGCCATCTTCTAAAATGTGATTCATCGGTAATATTAATCTCTTGTGTCCGGAGGACTCAGAAGTCAAGATATTTTTGTTTGGGGGAGGGAATACCTAATGTTAAAAAAATATATAGTCTTTAAATCACTCTACTTAAAGATAAATATTAGTTACTTTTTAAAATTAAATGTATTGGGGTGATATTGGTTTATAGGGTCATATAGGTTTCAGGTGTACGTTTCTGTGATGCCTGATCTGTGTGTAGCATTGTGTGTCCACCACCAAAGTCAAGTAATCTTTTGTCACCGTATATTTGGCCCCCTTTACACTTTACTACACCCTCCCCCTTCCCTTTTAGTAAACCACCATGTTGTTGTCTGTGCCTATGAGTATCAGTTTTGTATCCCACATGAGTGAAATCATATGGTTCTTAGCTGTTTATGACTGACTTATTTTGCTTAGCACAATATTCTCAAGATCCATCCATGTTGTCACAAATGGCAGTATTTCATCTTTTCTTATGGCTGAGTAGTATTCCATTGTATACCATGTCTTCTTTATCCAATCCTCTATCGAAGGACACTTTGGTTGTCTCTATGTCTTGGTCACTGTGAATAATGCTGCAATGAGGATAGGGTGCATATATCTTTGAGAATAAATGTTTTTTGAGTGGTTTTTTTTGGGGGGGGGGTAGATATCTAGAAGAGATTCCTGGGTCATATGGTAACTCTATTTTTAATTTTTGAGGAATTGCCACACTGTTTTCCATTGTGGCTGTAACAGTTTACATTCCTGCCAGCAATGAATGAGAATTCCTTTTACTCTGTAACCTCTCCAACACTTGTTACTGTATTACCTGTCTTGTTGATAACAGCCATTCTAACAGGTGTAAGGTGGTATCTCATTATACTTTTGATTTGCATTTCCCTAATAGTTAGTGGAGTTGCACATGTTTTTCATATATCTATTGGCTGTTTGTATGTCTTCTTGGGAAAGGTGTCTGTTCCGGCCCTCTGCCCATTTTTTTAAATTGGATTGTTTGCTTGTTTGATGTTGAGTTGTATGAGTTCTTTATATATTTTGGATATTAACCCCTTGTTGGAGCTGCTGTTTGCAAATATCATTTCCCATTCGGTTGGTTATCTTTTTATTTTGTTGTAGTTTTCTTTTGCTGTGCAGAAGCTTTTTAGTTTGATAGAGTCCCATTCATTTATTTTTGCCTCTAATTCCCTTGACTTTGGGGTTAAATTCATAAAATGTTCTCTATGACCAAGGTCCATAAGTTTAGTACCTATGTTTTCTTCTATGTACTTTATTGTTCCAAGCCTTTGATCCATTTTTATTTAATTTTTATACAAGGGAACAAGCTATAATCTAGTTTCATTCTTTTGCATGTGGCTTTCCAATTCTCCCAGCACCACTTATTGAGGATAATGGTGCTTTCTTTTCTCCATTGTGTGTTTTTGGCCTCTTTGTCAAAATTTATTTGCCATGTACCTGTGGTTTTATTTCCGGGCTTTCAATTCTGTTCCATTGGTCTGTGTGTCTGTTCTTCTGCCAGTACCATGCTGTTTTGAGTATCTTAGCTCTGTGGTATAATTTCAAGTCAGGTAGTATGATACCTCTCTAACTTTTTTCTTTGGCTGTTCAGGGTATTTTGTGATTTCATACAACTCTGATGACTTTTTGCTCTATTTATTTAAAAAAATGACATTAGGATTTGGATTAAATCTGTATATTGCTTTGGGTAATACAGCCATTTTAACTATGTTGATTCTTCCACTCCATGAACATGAACATGGAATATCTTTCCATTTCATTGTGTCTTATGCAATCCCTTTTAATAATGCTTTGTAGTTTTCAGTATATAGGTCCTTCACCTCCTTTGTTAAGTTTATTCCTAGGTATGTTATTCCTTTGGTTGCAATTGCAAAAGGTGTTTTCTTTTCATTTCTTTTTCTGAAGTTTCATTGTTAGTATATAGGAAAGCAATGGCTTTTTGTACATTGATTTTGTATCCTGTAACTTCACTGTATTCATTTATTGTTTCTAATAGTTTTTTTTTTGGTGGAATTTTTAAATTTTTCTATATACAGAATCATGTCATCTGCAAAAGACACTTTCATTTCTTCCTTCCTAATTTGGATGTCTTTTCTTTATTTCTCTTGCCTGATTGCTCTGGCTAGGACTTCCAAAACTATGTTAAATAAGAGTGGTGAGAGTGGGCATCCTTGTCTTGTTCCTGATTTTCACCATTGCGTATGATACTGGCTGAGGGTTTATCATAGATGGTGCTTGAAAAGTCATTAAGACTAGTTCTGGAAATTT